GTGAAAGTGGTAATTAATTACATTAATTACGAATTACATATTTATGGTAATTAGCTAATTACCATATCATGTATAGTCAACAAACAAAACTGGTTAATTCTCTTGATAGATATATTAGTTTGAAAACAATAAATACAATGAGACAAACTACAATAGAACCTTATCTTAATCAATAATTATATAAAAATTTTTTTTAATGATAATGATGTTATAAATTTTTATTTTTATGAAATTTTTATTCTTTATTGGTATCATGTGCAACCAATGAAATGCTTTGTTTCTCTAAGTGCACACCCCCCTAAGCACACGCTATCACTCATTCCCAAGGGGGATACACTTAGAGGGGGTTGACTGTACCTTCTGTATTATTCTCCATTTTGAATTACTATAATAATAAAAATTGGCTTTTCATTAAAAAACTTATTAAAAGAATATTTCAAAGAATTCATTATATAAATAAATAAAATAAATAAATACCTTCTAAACCAGTTGCATCTTGAGTTACCATTATATGTCTATTTGAAAATATGCTTTGATTGGCTTCAACCATTTCAAAACCTTATTATTATAATCATGCATAAGTTAAATTTCAGTTATGTAAATGAAAGTGAGTTATGTTGATTCTTACTCAACTGATTTCAAAACTGATTCTAAGTGTATTCTCAAGCAAGAAATTTAGATAAAATTATGTTTATTATCAGACGAATTTTGATTCTATCACAAATATTGATCTGTGCTGCAGATCAAATCCATTGTTACAAATTTAATTAGCCATATGAATTTTCAAAAAAAAGGAATGTTAAGCAAATAATTAAATTTGAACAGCCTAATAATAGTAGTAGTAATAGTGAAAGTGGAATTTTTGTCAGAGTGCCTAAAGAATAGGTAATACTTATAAATGGCTTTGGGTCTGAGTGTTTTCCTCCATGCAAGTACTTTGACAATTATTTAACTTGTATTTTTATGTATTTTTCTATTATTAGTTGAATAAATTCCAAGTCATGTGCCTGCTAATTTATCATTGGTCGAGATCATGCATAAATTGTAACAATTATGATCTAAAAGATCTAAAAAAAATTTTTTTAAAAAATTAATTTTTAAGAATTTGATTGTGCAAATAATATACCAGATGAGGTGGTAAAGGAATTGAAGGAGTGGAGGAAGGGAAAATATGGGGGAGAAAAGTTGAACAAGTTGGAAGAAGCATTGGACAAAGGAGAATGGAAAAATGACAATCAGAAAGAAAGGTGTGAGGGAAGGGTAAAAAAGTTGAAGGAAGAAAAAGAAAAGTTAGAGAAGAATAAAGATGATAAATGGGACCAAGTAGAATATTTACAAAAAGCATTAGTGGAGTTTGGTGGAGGAGGGAAAGGTAATGAACAAATTGCGTAAAAAAAAAATTTTTTATTTTCTATTTATTTATTTCATAACTGATTTATGATATAAAAAAATCTTAAATTATTTACAATGCACAACTCCCCCCGTTTTACCATAGAATAGTATTTGTTTGGAGCAACTTGACATTGAACTGATTTATGATTATTTTTAATATTACGAATACATTCATTATTCTATCAAGATATTTCCATGAAAATTAAAGAAGAGAAGCAGAAGGTGGAAGGTAAATTTTACATAATGCATATTTAGATATGAACTCATTTTTTATCTTTCAATTCACATTTATTGATCCTTTCTTCACCTTCAGAGGGAGAAGATCCAATTGAAATTCAAGATAGTATTATAAAGGCAGTGAAAAATAATAACACAGATGCACCATCATCAGCTGCTCATTCCAAACATTTAGTAAGAAATCAAAATTTAGTAAATATTATGTGTCATCGTCCACCAAAGTATGTTAGATGTCCTGTGATTTGGTTTTGTCATGTTTTTGTCCAATTTCATCATGACTTAAAAAGTACAATGCCAATTCCAAGGATATTGCATTAAAGCTGTGTGAGGAGATGTCAAAAATATATGTTGATACTACCAATGGGAGGATAAGGAGGCTAGGATCAAAGCATTTGATAATTGTTTTTTAAATAATTCAAGCTCAACACAACTTTATCACATATTTCAATCTGGTTTTCAAGAGATTGTTTTGAGTAATAATCGACAAAGTGATGGGTTCCTTATACATCATGTAAAAGAAGCATTGATTGGAAATAGGGAAATAAAAAATGAAATTGGTAAGTAAAACACTTTTTGGATGTCATTGCATAATCATCTACCAATGATATATTTTTATTCACATACACTTTTGTATAGGAACTGATGAGGTAGATCCATATCTCCAAGGATCATTTTCATATGTCAACTATTGGTCAACAAGGCCAAATAGTTTTTGGTGTGAACAATGTTGCTGTCCAAGCTTTATTATACCCATGGCTGGATCTTGGATAATGGTTTCTGGTGCTTGTTTCCTTCGCCTTTTTTAACTTCACCACTCACCATCATTATTTGGTTGCTTGTCTAAGTCGGCATCATCTCACAGTCTTAATTCTTTTTCTCTTTCTTGGTTCTTTATCACTTCACCATACTTAGCAAAAATGTCTATCTTTTGAATGTGGTTGGGTGAAAAACCAGTTGTAGATCCATTAACACCTTACATTCATTTGATGTTATCCATGGATACTAATAACATGAAATTAATTGCAAGACTGTTATGGGCTTTAGAGAGAGGTTTTGATAACCTAAGGAAATACTATGATGAAGTTGCCTCATTAGATCTCCAACTTGATAATTCTATTCCCTTCCAATGGGTTTTCCCCAAAAACACAGTGATAATAAATGGTGAATGCCAGCAGATAACATATGTCAAATCAGGGTTGGTAAATGTGTGGTCCATTGATGGTCCATTGGTGGTCTATTGGGTCCATTAGTGTAACACTTTAACCATATTTAGTATTTTACTAATGGCAATGGACCAGTCCAAAATCCATCTGTTCTCAATGGACCAGTCAATTTGCCAACCCTGTGTCAAACCAATAAAGAAAAAGCTAGAGCATTCAAACATTTATTTGGCCAAATTACAGTATGATACAAATAATTCACAACTTATCACTGTTAAATTTTCACTCAAATATTACATCAAATTTGTGCAAATCAAGGCTATGCACCAAAATTGATTGATGTAAATGATATGGGGGATTGGAAGATGATGATTATGGAGTACATTAAAGACTAGTGCTGTAAATTATGATGATGATAGTAATTTTATTTATGGCATATAAAAAGTGGTCACAATTACCTTTGCGACCACTTTTGCAACCATGCTTTTTCCTTTTTTGGATTACGGCACTAGTCTTTGGAGTACATAAATGGTGATATACTTCAAGAAAAGCCAGATGATAATGTTTTTAACAATATTCAAACTGCAATCCAACTTTTACATGACAAAGACATTGTGTTGGTGATCTGAGAATGTGTAATGTAATGATTAGGGATTCTGATAAAAAAGGAATGTTGATTGACTTTGAACATCAGGAAATTTTTTCTGATGCAAATTTATGTAATATTATGGGGCCCACCATAAACTTACATAAATAGCGTAATATTATGCAAAAATTGCACAAAAATTACGCAATTATTGCATTCAGCATAAATATTACATCCTTTTTATGTGAAATATTACAACATTTCATATTAAAACTTACGGATGTAATATTATGGCGGGAAAAGTTTTCTGATGAATGGGCTGGAAAAGAAAATATAGACTGTTATCCACCATTCATGAACCACAAACAAGTGAATTGGCCAACAGGTGCAGAAGATGATAAACCTTTAAAAAAGAACATGATTTAATTTGGTTACAGAGAATTAGAACTGGTGATCCAGGTACCAATCCTACCTTTTTCATATAGACATTTTACAATTAGCATAATTAACTGAAATTGTATTAAAATTTTTGGACATATAGGGTTAAAAAAGAATCATTGAGTAAATATTAAAGTTTATGTAAATGTGATTTTTATTGGTGTAATAAGCATGTAATGAAAAATTATAAAAGTAATGTAAACTTATTGCAATGTTTTCAGGAAAATTCTTTAACAAAAACCTACAAAGTGAATGTAAAATTATAAATTATATATATAAGGATAAAGTGTATATATGAAAAATAATAATAAATATAATGGTTCTAAAAGCAATTGATTTTTTGAAAAAAGGTTGTAAATATGGTTGTTCTTCAAGAATTCCCAAAGAACAATTTGCAGAATTAAGAGAATCCTTTCAAGCTCTTTATAAATGAGAACAATACATATTTTTAATGGCCCAACTTAAAGCAATGTGTAAGGAAACCCTTTTTCCTTACATCAAAATACTATATAATTGTTTTAATTATTAAAAAATACAAGTTATACAAGTTATTCTTTATTAATTACGGAAAGCTTATCTTTTTATACAAAAATGCATAATATAATATTACAATTAAATAAATAAAAATAATATCTTAGAACTTCCTGGAAAGCCACAGCACTTAATTTGTAATTCATATACATAAGAAAATAATATAAATAATAATAATATAAGCAATATAAATAATAAATAATATAAATAATAAGTAATATGACAATAATATATATAAGTAAAGTTGTAATGTTTTGTTTTAATTTAACGCATTATGTGAAATAAATTTCATATTACTGTGCCATATTACATATTCGCAATTAATGAAAAAGAACTATTACATTACTCCCCCATTAAAAATCAATGTCCTCATTGATTTAAAAATTTTTGTAAAATTTCATGGCAATTTGTTAAATTAGACTCAGGTTCCCAAGTTGCATCATCCCTATAGGAAATTTATGTATGGAATATGTACGGAACTGCGGATGTGTAAGGAAAATCTTGTAAAATGTAAGGAAAAATGCATTTTTCCTTACATTATGTAATTTTTTTCATGTAGCAGTCACAGGACATTTCCCGCCGATCTATAGGAGGTTGTAAAACATAGTAAAATTTGGATGATCTGTATCATAGTAAAATTTTATAATCGAATGTCTTCACACCCTTGTTTGATACCCTTGCTGTGTAGCAACCACCACCAAATTTGAGATATAATTTCTTTATCATATGTATC